TGCCAAATAGGACAACAGGCTTCCTTAGCTAGGACTCTAGAATCTTACACCATCGATGTGTGCTGCGTCTCCGAAACGCGCATACAAGATCCGAGTAGTGTCATTCATTTGACCGCATCTAATCAAAATAAAGTTTAATCTCGATACACGCTTCGTGTATCTGGAAGCCCTGGTGCTGCTTCCCGTGGCCTCGCTGGCGTAGGTATAGCATTAAGTCCTAGGGCAGAACTAGCTCTTTTAGACTGGATCCCAGTAGACAGTCGTCTATGCGCTATCCGACTAAACGGATCAGTAAGGACCCGGAAAGATAGGGAAACTCGTCGTTGCCTCTTCGTCGTCTCTGCCTACTCTCCCACTGACTGCAGCTCAGACGATATAAAAGATGAGTTCTACAGGAAACTTTCTGACCTTCTCCGAGAAGCTAGGCTTTCTGATGTAGTAATAGTAGCAGGTGACTTTAATGCTCAAGTAGGTAAACTAAGTGAAAGGGAAAGACATCTGGGTGGATCTTATGGTGTCATGGCGAAAAGAACAGATAATGGCGACCGTCTGTTGCAGCTGTGCTCAGATAACCGCCTATTTCTTGCAAAAACTAATTTTAAGCATAAGGAAAAACATCTTTTGACATGGCGACCCCGAATTCGTCCCAACGTTGGACCCAACTAGATTACATCGCTATCAGCCACCGATGGAGGGGCTCGATAGAAGACTGTCGCTCATTCTGGGGCACATGCTTAGATTCAGATCATGCTCTAGTGTGAGCACGTATCTGTCTGCGTCTTACTGGTCGTAGGAAAGACACTGCAGGTGAGCCTCTAAGGGTTCTACTTAATGATAGGCAAGCTAAGAATATATTTCAGGAACAACTAGAAAAACAGTTAGGCAGCCATGTAAGTTGTATCCACCACAAGGCAGCGTGGAATGACATCCGAAAAGCTGTGGAAACAGCAGTGATATCCGTTAGTAAGGTAAACCATAACGTTAGGGAGAAACAATGGATCTTGGCAGCATCTACCGCACTGATAGATGCTCGTAAACTCATCCCACCTGGCTCTGAACATAACGAAGAGCGGAGTCAACTTAAGCGAAGGCTAATAAGAAGCCTACGCAATGATCGTGAACAGTGGTGGGTAGCGAAAGCAAGAGAGATGGAAAAGGCAGCGGCAATAGGTAACTTTAGGCTCGTTAAAGAAACCGGTATTAGGAACCCGAATATCAGTGAAACCATCTCAGATAAAGATGGGCATATTGTTCATTCTCAATCCAGGAGATTGGATCGATGGGCAGAACACTTTAGGGATCAGTTCAACTGGCCTTCAGCCACACTTCAATTAACCACGATCCCCAGTCGTCCTGAATGGAAAATTGATGTAAGTCCTCCAACCCTCTGTGAGGTTGAAAAAGCTATAGGAAATCTGAAGCGAGGGAGAGCAGCGGGCCCTGACAGGTTGACCCCTGAGATTTTTAAGGATGGTGGTCCAGTACTAGCAGTGAGATTGACTGAGGTCTTAGGTAGAATCTGGGAACTGGACGTAATTCCATCTGACTGGTCCCAATCACTGATTGTGCCAGTCTATAAGAAAGGACAAAAGTCCTCCTGTGACAATCACAGAGGGATCAGTTTGACTAATATAGTGTCTAAAATATTAGCTTCAATAATACTAGGTCGCCTAACCAAAGCTCGTGAAGAGCAGACTAGAGAAAACCAGGCTGGTTTTCGACCTGGACGTGGTTGCATAGACCAGATATTCACCCTACGTCAGGTTCTAGAACATAGACACAAATTCAGACGTCCCACAATAGTAGTATTTCTTGATCTTAAGGCGGCATTTGACTACGTTGATCGTGAGGTTCTATGGCAATGTTTGTCACTGAAAGGAGTACCAAAGAAGTACATTAACCTCATGAAGGCTCTCTACTCGAACACAACTGGTCGAGTTAGAGCCTATGGCGAACTGTCATCAGAACTGATTACCACAAGTGGCGTTTGTCAGGGCTGTCCACTCTCCCCATTCTTGTTTAACTTTGTCATTGACATACTTTTAGAGATAGCACTTTCATCAGCTAAACCTCCAGGAGTTGAACTTTTACCAGGAGGCTCACTTGTTGACTTAGAATACGCCGACGACATAGTTTTACTCGGTGAAGACGCTGACAACATGCAGAGTCTTCTGACCACTATAAGCAACTACGCAGGCATGTTCGGGATGCGATTCTCTCCCTCGAAGTGCAAAATGTTACTTCAGGATTGGGTTGCAGCGACACCTGAACTAATGATAGAGAGTGAAGTAGTTGAGCGTGTAGACCACTTCACTTATCTTGGGAGTCTCATCAGCCCTTGTGGTCTGGTATGTGACGAAATCTCAGCACGGATACAGAAGGCTCGTCTAGCTTTCGCCAACTTGCGTCATTTATGGCGTAGGCGAGATATCCGTCTAGCAACCAAAAGACGGGTTTACTGTGCAGCAGTTCGCTCCGTCCTACTTTATGGCAGTGAAACATGGCCAATAAGAGTAGAGGATATTCGTAGGCTACTAGTGTTCGATCATAGGTGTCTTCGAAGCATTGCTCGTATATCCTGGGACCACCGGGTAAGTAATGCAGTTGTTAGGAAACAAGTACTAGGTAGGGATGACAAATAGATTGATGAAGTAGTGAAACTTGATCAGTTGAGATGGCTGGGACATGTGTTACGTATGCCCGACCACCGACTGCCCCGACGTGCAATGTTTCATGGTGTAGGAGTATGTTGGAAGAAAGTTAGACGTAGGGCAAATCCATGGAGTCATTGATAAGTGGACTGAGCCATGTTGGTAAATGTAGACTACCTGGTTTGGATCCACGAGATGATAGTGATCGATGGTTAGAGACGTTGAACGGTATGGCTCAAAATCGTTTACAATGGAGAAGATCCATTCAGTCTTTGTGTTCTACCAAATTCTAATCTTTTGAATTCTTCATATCTCTATCTTTTTCTCTTTCCAAATTTATTTCACTGTACTATACTCCTTCAATAATTTCTTCAAGCCCTAATCTTTTGGATTTCTGATTATACTCCTACTAGTTCTACCACTATGGGATTTGAATCGACAACTCCATCTGTGTGCTAATATAGTATGGCAACTCGAACTGATGTACGTAAGTACGAAGTTCTACGTTGTGACTGACTGATAAACTTCTAACAAATGGAAATTAGCCACACTCTACTAATCCGAAATGTACAGTGCAGTGAATTTACTTTATTTGAACACATAAATATTGGTACAAAAGGGCACCGAATACATATATGCCACATAAATTATTCGATTTTTGTGAGGGCTGGGAAACTGTCCGAGTGCCTAGACACAAGAAAGTGGTTTCCTTAGGAGCCCACTCCCCGAGTCTTTGACATAGAGGTCTAATCCACAAGGCAGTAGAGTTATAATTTTTAACATTTAGAGTAAGCTCAACAAAACCTATAGACTCGTAGAACTACATATCGCTAATGAGCCATAGTGAACAGTAGTGTTCTTTGGAAACTAATTGTCACAAATATTGTTGATACAAACAAGATGAGGTTTAAGGTCTTGTTTTATGCTTCTCAAACTTAATTTGAACGTAGAAACTTTGGGTTAAACTAGTTGTCTCATAGTTATGACAAGATTTTGCTTTTTTTCTTATAAACGGAATCAATCAGAAATTGTGATAATTGTGGATAACGTGATGGTGTTTGAAGCGAAAGGTACTGGGTTCCAGTCCCAGAGTTAACATCAACTCTGAGATGCAGGTACATCCAGATGACGAGTCCCAAATAGGACGAAACGCGCGTCAAACTGGATTCCACTGCTAGCCACTATCCATCTCTGCTTACCGTGCTTGTGAATTAAGGCTATATTGAAGCAATACGCACAGTATACACATATGCCAATAAGAGACTGACAAGTTGCAGTCCTAAACATCAATGGGAAGATTCCAAAAAACAATACCAAGTGAATTTAAACTTCACCCAATTGCACAAGCAAGTGGCTATCAGGACTCAGTAGCTGAGTGCACAAAGTGATGGCATTTGAAGCGAAGGGTAATGGGTTCGAGTCCCAGAGTGAATATCAGTTCTGAGATACGGGTGCATCCAGCTGATGAGTCTCAAATAGAACGAAACGCGCGTCAAACTGGATTCCACTGTTAGCCATTATCCATCTTTGCTTACAATACTAAGTGAATTTATAAATGTATATCGTTTAACTATATCCACAAAAAGAAAGCTAATTTACAGTAATAAATAAATTGTATATTTATTATTTACACACACACACAAGGAAGCTGATAGAATTGGTTATTGAGGTAATAATTAAGTTTTAAATAATTATATGTATTATCATTCGAAGAGGAAGAAGAAAATAGACAGACTGAAATTAGACATGAAGGAAATTCTAAAAATCATAACAGATATGATACTGAATATAAGGAACAAAGTATAATACAAAGTTAGTTCACAAGGACAATAGTATATGTTATTCTAGTAGTATATCAGTTAATCAAATGTACCTATTTCATATGAACTAAAGTGTATACAGAAAAGGTAGAGTAAACATATTCATTTGCACAACACTTCCTTAACGTTATTCATTAACTAGAATCAAACTACTGATGTGAAATAGAGTAGTATTGTGCAGACAGACAATAGAACAGACTGGAGACAACAAGATTAGAAAGCTTAAAAAATGAATAAAAAGACGTAGCAAACACAGAACGATATTGAGAATAATAAACCAAAACACAATATTGAGTCTATTTGATAGGGAGCCTTAATGAAATTAGAAAAGAAAACATCATGTACACATTATATTGTCTGATAAAATTCTAAGTATAAAGATTAACCCACTAGAAAGGTTTAATTGAAATGAGAGTTGTGAAGTTGAATATACAATTTAGTATTAATAATAATTAGAACCTATAAAACCTGTTCACACAAAAAGGTAGTCAGGTACTTAGACAAAAGAACATATATGTGTGTATTAATGTTAAGGTAGTATGGATTGAGGCCTGTGTAAATTACGACTTAGTACTGAACGTACATCGCTCACAAATCTAAGAGCATCCAATACGGGTAGCAGACATAGAAGGGCTGTATCACGTGAATCAGAAAACCACGACCGAATCGGTATAGCATTATCTGTAGGCAGTAAAATAAATATGTGAAAATCATTAAAATAAAAAGGACAATAATAAATTTACTTAATCGACTCATTCACTAGGTATATGGGTATAAGCCACGCAAAATGTGCAAACTGATGATACAACCCAGCTACGTAAACAAAAGTGGGTGGAGAGGAATACGAACTTGAGACTTAGTGACTGGAAGTCGAACCCTTTGACCACTACAACATGGCAAAGAGACAATTTACGTGTAAAAGTCGAATAACTTTTTGAACAAATAAACGAAACTAGGAATATTGGTAGAATAAATGAGTTGTGACTAGAAAACGGATCCAGCACCCACATTCCGTCCTGTTTGGGACTCATCAGATGGATGGACAGCATCCTATCGTTGATATTCACACTAGGATTTCATTACTAACAACGATCCATCTAAAATGAATAACATGTGTCATAACGTTTATATCGAGGCAATTCATACATGATACACATACACCAACAAATATTGATCAAAATCCAGTCGTAAATATCAGCAAGATAATTCAAACTACTCCTAATAATGATATAAGCATATTAATATTTCTCAACTGAAAAACAAAGAAAGTAGTACAAATATGAATTTTGGAAGAACGTAGAGGTTTTAATAATAACCGTTATCATAGCTTAATTTGAAGCCATAGTAGCATAGTTACTTGTGCCAACGTCATAACTTTATCACTATATCTAAACAACACACCCTGAAGTTATTTATCCAATGACAGTATCAAATAAATTGATTGTAATGACACTCCTTTGATTCAATTCTGGTGGATTGTAAGTTAGTGCGTGTAAATCCCATAAGCAAAATACAAAGAAACTTATAGGTCAAACCGTGTTAACGAGATGGAAAATTCATCTGCTGCCAGATAATTTTCTAGTTAATCCAAGCCTGTGCAAGACAATCTGAGATTGATGGCACAGTAATAGATCACAATTAAATACAATTGGAAAGCCAAATAAAAGATTTCAAAAGATATTTCAACTGATTTACTGTCATAGCAACTTTAGTTAAAATATATTGTACATGATTGATAGCTGAACATTAATATATTCGATGATGCAAGTGTTTAGAGAGAGCTTCAATTATTAAGACGATGCAGTACATCGGAACTAAAGAACCATTTTCAAGTTTTGTTATATAAAAATGGAAATATTTATGTCGAGGAAGAGAGACTCGGTCATTTGAAAATATCTAGCATGTTGTTATGAATTTATTACTGAATTTTATGTGTGATCAGTAGTTCTTACTTATCATTCCCAACAGCAGAAAACTAGGAGTGTTGTGTTTAGTTACCATTAGACCTTTGTCGCATTCATTTTAAAAAGGTTAGGGATCTGATAAAAGTTATTTGGAATATTTACTTTCGTCATACAATGTAGATCTGTGAGAAAAGCATGAGAGACTACCAGCGAGGAGCAGGGAGTATTTTGCTTAACTAGTCGGTATCTTCATTACACTGCCATCCTTCGCCAGGTGGCTGATAACACTCATGCAGTCATCCTGACCGTTGCTGCTACCTTGACGTGGTGGTCGGGCTTGCCTATCGTGATGAAGCAATCGAGCTATGCTGGCTGGAATAATCGTTCCTCGAGGTCCTACCATGCCAGACAGGTCGGTTGAAGAGCGGTGAGACTAAAAGCAGCAATCCCAAGGTCCGAAGGCGAAGTCGTACTGCCGACTGTACAGAGGTGTGAAAGCAGTAAGGTGTTTCCTTCAGACAACCAGCATGACAGCGATCCTGCCTTCCCACAAGGAGGGGTGGGGTTAGAAAAGGTCGGCCCTAAAAATGCACACCTCGCCTTATCCCACGGATATCCGTCTCCGGCGGTAAGGTTTTTTTTGAAGAACGGAGCTAAACTTCCTGTTCCGGTTTCCTCCTCAAGTGTCACCATGGCCAACGATTCTAGTGCGCGAAACGCTATCCCAGGTCTACTAAAACCTCGCTCCAAACTACACATTGGAACCTTCAACGTACGTACCCTATGCCAAATCGGTCAACAGGCCTCCTTAGCAAAAACCCTAGAATCTCGTACCATTGATGTATGCTGTGTCTCCGAAACACGCATACAGGATCCCAGTGTGGTCATTCACTTGACCTCACCTCGCCAAAATGGACAGCCAACGAAATACACCCTCCGTGTATCTGGCGACCCGTTGGCTAGTTCTCGCGGACTTGCAGGTGTAGGCATAGCACTAAGTACAAGGGCAGAACAGGCACTATTAGAATGGATCCCCGTTAATAGTCGCTTGTGTGCTGTCCGGCTGAATGGCTCCGTAAGAACTCGGAAGGATAGAGACACACGTCGTTTCTGCCTACGCTCCCACCGACTGCAGCCATGATGAAGTGAAAGATGACTTTTACAGAAAGCTCTCTGAGCTTCTTCAGAAAGCTAAGCGCTCAGACATAGTACTCATAGCGGGTGACTTTAATGCCCAGGTAGACAGCTTGAATCAAACAGAAAGACATTTAGGTGGGTGTTTTAGTATTCCGGCTCAACGAACCGATAATGGTGATCGTCTGTTGCAACTATGCTCAGACAATCGTTTATTTTTAGCAAGCACTAATTTTAAACATAAGGAGAGACATCGTCTAACATGGCGAACACCTACACCAAACCAACGATGGACTCAAATAGATCATATTGTCATCAGTCATCGTTGGAGAGGCTCAATAGAAGATTGTCGCTCGTATTGGAATACTTGTTTAGACTCTGATCACGCTTTAATACGAGCGCGCATTTGTCTGCGCCTCAATGGACGCAGGAAAAGTACACTAAGATGACCCATTAAATTTGAACTGGAGGACGAGAAAGCCAAATGCGAATTCCAGAAACAACTGAGTTCACATCTAGGCAGTTCTGTAAACAAGACTGACACAGTTGCTGCTTGGAAAGACATACGAACAGCTGTGGAAACAGCAGTTACATCTATCAGTCATTTAAACCACAGGGCTCCAAAAAACCAATGGATTTTTTCTAAGTCTATTTCACTGATGGATTCGCGTAAACTCATCCCATCAGGCTCTGAACATGACGAAGAGCGTAAAGAAATTAAATCTAGGTTAACTAAAAGTCTAAGGAACGATCGTGAGCAGTGGTGGGTAACGAAAGCAAAAGAGATGGAAAAGGCAGCGGCTGTAGGCAACACCAGGCAACTATTCAGACTAATAAAAGAAACCGGAATTAAGAAGTCAAGTGTAAGTGAGACAATTTCCGAAAAAGACGGAACCCTTATCTGCTCTCAACCCAAACGTTTAGAACGATGGGCGGAACACTTTAAGGAGCAGTTTAGCTGGCCTTCAGCTACTGCACAACTACCCACTATTCCTAGAAAACCTGAATGGAACATTGAAGTAGGCCCCCCGACCCTACTTGAAGTTCAAAAGGCTATAGGTAATCTGAAACGAGGAAGAGCAGCTGGTCCAGATTGATTGGCTCCAGAGGTCTTTAAATATGGTGGTTCAATTTTAGCGATTAGGTTGACTAATATTCTGGCTAAAATCTGGGAGACGGATGTAATCCCATCCGACTGGTCACAATCATTGATTTTCCCAATATATAAAAAGGGGTCAAAATCATCCTGCGATAACCATAGAGGGATTAGTCTGACTAACATAGCATCTAAAATACTAGCCTCAATAATTATCAGGCGCCTAACTAAGACTCGCGTCCGACAATGATAGTTTTTCTTGACTTGAAAGCAGCATTTGACTCTGTAGACCGAGAGCTTCTGTGGCAGTGCCTATCATTGAAAGGTGTACCTGAGAAGTACATAAACCTTGTGAAGGCTCTTTGCTCGAACACCACCAGTCGAGTGAGAGCTTATGGCGAACTGTCATATGATTTTACAACCTCAAGTGGTGTCCGTCAAGGCTGTCCACTATCCCCGTTTTTGTTTAACTTCATTATAGACCTGTTGCTGGAAATAACACTCTCTTCGACTGAATCTACAGGAATTGATCTCCTACCAGGGGGACCACTAAGCGACTTAGAATACGCAGATGACATAGTCCTGTTTGGTGATAACGCTGGCAAAATGCAGAGTCTTCTGTTGGAACTCCGTAATAATGCCAGGATGTTTGGGATGCGATTCTCCCCATCCAAATGTAAATTGTTACTCCAGGACTGGCCTGCATCAACACCTGAACTAAGGATAGGGAGTGAAGTAGTCGAACGCGTTGACAACTTCACTTATCTTGGAAGTCTGATCAGCCCTAATGGGTTGGTGTCTGACGAAATCTCAGCACGGATTCTAAAAGCTCATTTGGCTTTTGCCAACTTACGTCACCTATGGCGTAGACGAGATATCCGTCTATCAATTAAGCGACGAGTATACTGCGCATCAGTTCGCTCTGTTCTACTTTACGGCTGTGAAACATGGCCATTAAGAGTAGAAGATAATCGTAGGTTACTAGTATTTGACCACAGATGCCTTAGAAATATTGCTCGCATCTGCTGGGATAACCGGGTAAGTAATAGTGAGGTTAGACGCAGGGTATTAGGGAACGATGGTAAATCAGTTGATGAGGTGATGAATCTTCATCGACTGAGATGGTTGGGCCATGTGTTACGTATGCCTGAACACCGATTACCACGACGCTCTATGATGACTAGTACTGGGGACTGTTGGAAGAGAGTTAGGGGCGGCCAAACCAAAACATGGCATCAGTGTTTGAAGTCACTAACTTCTAGTCTGAGCCATGTTGGCAGATGCAGACTACCTGGTTGGGGTCCGCGTGACTATCGTAACCAATGGTTGGAGACTCTAGGTGACATGGCTCAGAATCGATCACAATGGCGTAGGTGTATACACTCTTTATCTTCCTTTAAACCTTGAGACTAAAATTGCTTCATATCTCTCTTCCTTCCTGTACTATATCCTTATATACAACCTATAATTTATATACTACTACCACCACTAAATTAATTACTTTTATGAACCCGGTGTTCATCTTGTTGTGCTAACGAGGTATGGCAACTTGGACCGATGCATAAATGTGCCTGGTCCTACGTTGTAGCTGACTGACATGCAGTCATTGTTCTTTGATATAAGAGTCGCTTCACTTTTGTTGGACAGAACTGTCTTCTGGTACTGGTTACAAATGAAGATATTGTTGAGTCTATCGTCAATATACTGAAAGTCCTTTGAATCAACATAATGTGGGAGTGGGGGCTTAATAACATTATTTTCACCAGTCTGCGATAACATACTCAATCCATACATCGCACTTAGTTTGCGATCAGCAACAGTACATATAGCAATTATTTTGCATTACTAAAGTTTATAACACTAACAGGATAATGTACATACACTGATTACTTGCAATTAGTCATTGAACAAAATCAGATGAACCCTACTGCTAGAAGGTTGTGAAGTAAATCAATATAAACAATCATTGTTATCGCTGTCCCATTGTTAATAGATGTACGAAACTTAACTACAGGTTATTTGACCGATTCTTCATATATCGAAAATAAAAATTATCTGACACAGACGTGAGATGAGGTTGCAAAAATTATTAAACAAATGTTTAAAAATGATTCACATTTGAAAGGAACTTAAATTTCTTTCAAAAACAAGTCAGACAATAGATGAAGTAGAAATATAGTGATAAATTGCACAAAATTACCAGGATATGATCGATATGCCCCTGGAGAATTGTCTAAAATGAATACAGAAGCCATGTCAGAAGTAATTAGGGAAAGATTCTTTGAATAGCTGCCATTATCATATGTACAATGCTAAAAAAGTAGATATACAAAAAAACACCAAATAAGCGCTTTCTTAAAGTACCACGACATTCAACAACATAGAAATGAGAGATTTAATCAGTCATAATCAACTGAGGACCTAGCATAAACGTGCTGATGTTCAAATCAATAAACCATAGCAAACGATTTACATTTACTATCACAAAAACATTATGGCTTTCAGTCTTACATCTATTTCAACGATATACACATGATCCTAAAGTAACTCATGAAACTGGATGATCAAAAATATTACTTTTTTGTCTTAATTGGAGTTTAAGATGCCTATTGTGATTTTTTGTGTATCGAACCTGGACAATTCTTGAATGATTGGTTTAATTTCATTCAATGGTAAAAAGGCACGTAGAAGCCCTGATGGTTTTCCTAGTCACTGAAGTAACACTGGGTCTTCATCAAATTATTCTACAGTGCTGGAAACCTCTATGAGAAATATAGACATTTATAATTAGTAATTTAGATTCACAAATGACCTGAGGTGAGGACTGACACGTACAACGAATTGGTTGTTTCCTATTTAACTGATATCTTTTGATTTTGATTTCTCATTAAATAAAACTGTGCGCAATAAGTCCTCACATATCTTATACAATGGACTACAAAAGAAAGGTATTATGTTAGGGTAGTTAAGTTGTGTTAAAACTTTTATATTGGCTGAGTACAGGTCGAGTAAACACACACTAATTAACTTGAGTGAGGTGAATAAAAAGGTAACACAGACATAATCATAACGGTAATAACGCGCCTACCAGATTCGCACAAAATCAGAAAACTAATACTCTCCAAGGTTGTTACTCTCACTTAGATTATAACCATTTAAATTTAAACCCAGGATTCCAGGGCGCTAAACATTTCTAGTTGGCCACATAAGACTATGTAGTTGGCTTTTCTCCTTCAACTGTTTATGTTTTTCGGAGTTCTTTACTCAAAAATGAGGTGATGGGATGGTAAATACAAGACGGTTGTAACCTATTATAATCTTGTTTTGTAATCGACTATTGTGGAATGGAAAAGTCTGAGATAAAAAAAGTGGTTTGGTTGACTGGGTTAGTGATAAGCACGAATAATCATCTTAAGAAAAATGAAAATCAGGAGAACTACGTGGCAACAAATTAACCTAACATACACGTACAACTTTGTGTATTAGAATATAAATGATATTGTAGGGGAGTGATGGTACTTGGATGATTTCAACTCAATATGTGACCACACTTCATGCAAACTCTTTAAAGTTCAAAATGAAGAATACTGACCTAGAGATCATATGGAATTAATCCTAATAACCTTTGGAACTGAGCTTTCATGGGGTAGAAATATGGATCCTCCCCTGAGAAATAATTTGCCTGATAGATGAATATTTGCAACTCATATATCTACTTGTACAACGTTGTCAATTTAAAGATCATAAAAGAGGAATGGATCACACATGTTTTGATGGATATCAAAAAGAATAGAATTTATTTTAAGTTTTACACTAATTGTATTACTGAATAAGCAATTATGGACGTAACGCTCAAATAGAAATAATTTACTCAACAATAACCGACCTGTCTATAAAATCGTCTCTGAAGAATATGGCGTCCATTGTCGAGCAACTCAGTTACTCCTGCCCCGTAAATTTCAAGACTAGCTGTATATATTACAAGTTCGTACCACTGGCTTATCTAAAGAGAACCATATCAAAATTAGAACAAGCTACTAAATTCAGAATTCGTAAATATTACTTAAGTTTTAGTAAGGGGTAAGAATTTCCATGATAATGTAGTCAATAAGTTATACGGCGGGTAATAGAAAATAAGTTATCAGAACAATAAGTCACTTGAAATTTAACCAGTTACATACGTAAAATTTTTACGATATAAGTTGAAGTAGTCAAAGTCAAGAGAAAATACACTGGGTAACCTTTAAATTACCTATTGACAAAAATCGTGACCACAAAAAATCCCTTAGTCATTACAACCGAAAGCTTTGTGAACTCTCAGTCATAGGTACCGAACAGCACCAGTTAAGAGGTTGGTGTATATATGATGAAAACATCCAAACCTAAATTACCTAATTAGTAGGAACTTAAATAGAATGGGATATCAAAAGTCAATACGTACTAATGATACTCAATTAGGTTTAAACATAAAAGTAAATTATCAGTTATAACATCAATCCCAGGCCTAAGGGCCAAAAATTATAAGCTTGAGATATTTGAAAAGGGCTTTTCCTACTTTGTACACACTTACAACACATAGTGGGTACTCTTATGTCTTGCTTCACACAACTAAGAAATCCAGGAATGATGCCACTGATTATATACAACGTCGATTGTCACCACTAAGTCATCTGAGACTCAACTGGCCTTGACGGATTAATCTGATGCAAACTTTACTTGTAGAAAGTTAGCATCTCATCATAGTGTAGTTTAATTATTGATTGGTAGTACTCTTAAAGCAACAATGAGCTGTAGGGCTGAACTCCATGTTGGTCATGGGACTCAACAGGAGATTGAACAAGTATTTTTAAAACTAAACACTCACCGTAACGAAGTGATAAACTTTACGAATAGCTTAAGTGGGAAATGCACGCTCGGTTATCAGGTTCCAAATTGAGTCAACACCATGAAGGCTGACAATAACATCAGGTATCATATTGAGTACTTGAAAAAAACTATGTGCCTCGTGAAAAGCGCCATGGTTTTAGATGGTATTCTTGTCTTTACAATCTACAAATGACGTAGAAAATCTGGTGCCATGAGATTAGCTAGTTACAGATGTGGCATTAATCGGCTTCAGCAAGGCTTTCGGGAAAGTAAAATGTACTAGGTAGCAGTCCAAGCGAAGTCCTACTCACTGCCTTCTCGCGGCATTACTGTTGTTTACGAAATTAAAAGGACGAAAAGCAAATGTCTGGCACTTTAACCGGTGTGGTGGATATGGGAGATCCACCTAGGGGAGTTTGAAAACCTTGATTCCAAGCCAATGGTGTACATGCGCTCCATGATCCTGAGAGCACATGGGACTGCGACCGGGTGTTGATAAACACCCGTATACCTCTAACAGCACTCAAGATCACTGTCATACAGAATTCCAAGGATCAATCTTGATCTTAATTTTACGTTTAGGGATTAATTGACCTACCTAAGCTTCTGAAGTTATCAGTTTTGCTACACGCAGATGACATAAAGATATGGGAAGTAGAACGAAATGGGGGAAATATTATAAGGCTTCAAAGAGACCGCAATGTAATTTAAGTGGACGATCCGATATTTAGTGAATGCTAGTAAGTCCTTCCAAGCGCATTATGACCCCCACTAGTCAGTAATGTGGAAATAAATACATAATTATTCACCCTCGACCAAAAACCCACAATAATTTACAGACCAGGAAACACTTCAAAACAACTGGTTTGTAAGTGGTCCTACAGTCGCAGTCTTAGGATACTTTGGGCAGGACACATGCCGTTTAATAATTTATATGTCAAAGCATTTACGGTACTGAATACAGTAACTTTGTCTGAAGCCCAAATATCATAGATAGAGAAGTAGTTCTTTTCTGAAGTTTTAAGCAAATTCGACGGAAATTGTCTTCAGAATTTTCAAGTTTTCAGGTGGTACTTTATTCAGCTAAATATGTTGTCATCATATAGAGGGATCCGAGGTGAACTTAATATAGCTTATGTATTATTTATTAACCACATTGATATTAACATAACCTTACCTGCTTGCCTTTCAATATCAAAAACGTGTAAGGATGCCAAAAGTCGTAAGCACAGGACCAAATGACTACCGACTTCCATAGAGTCCCTAATAATTAAAATGCCCCATTTTTCAGAGATGATAGCAGCCTCATTCCCAAACTTATCCAGGAGAACAGACTAAGTGAGACATATGTTGCCAGAACTAACATAAACACTTAAGTCGTCTAACCTTAATAACAGAAATCAATATACACACTAGGGCAGGATTATCAGTATGGCAAATCACAGTATGACTCATCGAATTGTAATATCTTTAAAGATACTTAAACTAGGCATTTGGAAACTAATATAGACTTAGTTACATGTATTCAGCTGATAAGTGAAGGAAATATACGTTAATTTGGATATGAATGCATTACCTAGATTTGAAGTCTGGGAAAAACACAGATTCTGATCTTAAAAAAACTTACCACATTGAGGAAAAAATCAACATGAGGCCGTTTATGAACTGAGAAGCGAACAGGATGATGGTCAATAAAAACTTTGAGAACGAAATCCGGAGGTGTTCCTGGTCTGACCGTTGGCCGCATTATTCCATCGTGTACTGAATGAATCAGTGTCTCATCCAAATCTAATACCATAACTTTTCGTCTTAAAGTACCTGAAGGAAAGAGACAAAGTTAGAACTTTTTTACAACGTCCGAAATTATGAAACATTTAACTCGGTAATTTTACATCTTGCCAATAACAACATACAGGGATCATCTTAACGATTCAGAAAGTGATATACGATGTAAGTCATTCATCTAGCTTTTAATCAAACTTTATGTTTGAGGTAGCGACACTACCATGCTGACCAAGCTGAAGTCGGTGCAGCAGGACTCAAACCTGTAACCTGATGGTTGAAAGTCAGACACTTCGATCAGTGATCCACCGCTCTATATTTCGATGAAATCAATGTATCAAGTATTAGTGAACGATTTCTGATATCTACAGATGCAAGTTGAGTGTTTTCGATGTTAAGGTGACATGTACACAAGATCGAACTGGGAAGATCTTAACAAATCCTGGAATAAAGACTTGTCATTTGAGCGAGTGATCTCAAAAGGTTTAAACAACTATAAACTCATTGTTCACCCACTGACATTGTGAATGATAAAATAATGGGTCACCCAGAAAACTGAAAATGGTCCACTCGCTCACTTAAGCGTGCCATCTATGCAAGTGAGTTGTCAAAGAAACCGAGGAGAATTCAGCTGTAATCATTTCCCGAAAAACTTTCCTCAGATGAATAAGGTTATTAGATGCTACCGAGAAGCGGTGGTTTAAAGGTCAGTGATTAAACAGCCCCATCTACTTAAATATCGACAATGTCGATAACTATTAATTGCTACACGTGCAGTATTATATTATTATTTAAACAGACTTTGTACGAAGAAGCACCAAATAGATACGTGCCATATAAATTATTCGATTTGTGTGAGGGCTGGGAGACTGCCCGGGTGCCTAGACTCAAGCAAGTAGTTTCCTTAGGAGACCACTCACCGAGACTTTGACCTAGAGGTCTAACCCACAAGGCAGTGGAGCAACGTAAGAAGATGCAGTCCCATGTGCTCTCAAGATCATGGAGCACATGTACACCATTGGCTTGGAATCAGGGTTTTCAAACTCCCCTAGGTGGATCTCCCCTATCCACCACATCGGTTAAAGTGCCAGACATTTGCTTTTCGTCCTTTTAATTTCGTAAACAACAGTAATGCCGCGAGAAGGCAGTGAGTATCACTTCGCTGACTCTCCCCACTCTCGGCCGTGCCAGGGTATTTGGGTGCAGCATCGACTACTGTTATTATTGCTACTTTAATGTCTTAATATCGAAATACGTATAGAGCCAGGGTAAACATGATAGCACCAGAAAGTAGATGCAACCAAATCACTGACTAAAGCATTACGAACACAGATTTTAACCACACTTAACACCAGGTAGTCTACGCCATGTTGGTAGTTGTAGACTACCTGGTTGGGATTCGCGAGATGATAGCAACCGATGGTTAGAGGCCTTGAATGACATGGCTCAAAATTGCTTGCAATAGAGAAGGTGCATCCACTCTTTGTGTTCTACCAAATTCTAATCTTTTGAATTCTTCATGTCCCTATCCTTTTTCTCTTTCCAAATTTATTTCACTGTATTATACTCCTTCAACATCTTCAGACCCTAATCTTTCACAGAATGCTTATACTCTTACTACTTCTACCACTATAGGATTTGAATCGACAACTTCATCTCTGTGCTAATTTGGTATGGCAACTCGAACTGATGTACGTACATATGAAGTTCTACGTTGTGACTGACACTTAACACTTAAATTATAACGAGTCTTACATTTCAGAAACGAAGAAAAGCATTAAAACCCTTAGAGAAACACAGTGTCCCCCTTAGTGGGATTTTCTTATGTTCAGTTTTACGAGATAACTTTGGGCTAAGTAAAGTAATCTGAATATTTGAGAAGTCCATGGTATTTTTTGATAATAAATACAACCACAAAACAAAACCTGACGCACTGAGCAAAAAACTTTCATTAACTTACACAACCGGTATTTAGATAGGGGAGATAAAGGAACAATATCATATTTTACACTTTGGTATTTTAATGCCTGTAAGTAGGTCAGTGTGTGTAAATAAGAAACCGTACTGTTTTTAAATGCCTTCTGAATAGCAAACAAATCATGCTCCACAAACTAGCTATCAAGAGTTTGAGGTAACCCTTGTAGAACACCGCAGACGTTCTCATGTTTATGCATGAAAACGTTTCAAATCACCCGGCCAATAGGGGAGACAACAAACAAGTATACGAGAAAAACCAAGTTATACTGAGGCTGAAATTAATGACAAACCAACCTTTCGACTACCAGGAGAAGTTTTAGATTATTATTTTCAATGAATATGAGTCTGAACCGATGTTTTCACTCAACCTACCCCAGGATGCAGACCACAAGTTTTTGAACGCCAGGAATCATTGCACTCACTGTACTATGAGGCCTAAGAACGACTCTGATAGTTTCCACATTTCAAACGTGGACGGAAGCGAAGCTCTATGCTGTCATCACTAACCGATGGAAGATCTCATATTGTAAGACGAGCAATCCTTCATCGATCTTACAGTTGCACCACGCAACCGCGACATGTAACTTAAATTGCAACCTTCATTAGACACTAAGTATCGCGAAACTTCAGTAGTCTCTGATAATCGACCAACATTAACACATTTTGACGGAGACGTCACTTTCCAAGGGAACATGGAAGACCGCTACTTGAGAACGAGTTCTATCAATTTCCTAATGTGCAGTGCCCGTGAAATGTTAATGAGTCCGAATCAAACCATCCGGCCTTTGTTTCACTGGATATAGAACAGATCATCGATCCACATCATTGTTGACGTCAGCCAACGCACATAGGTTAACCGTATGTCATGGACTAGTCCATGCGGTGGTGGTGTCGCTATCTTCTCTGTACTTATTCTTACAAATATATTTCCACAATAACGTCCTTTGCGTTGTACGGTCTTCAAAGCAGTCATGGTACTTCAATACGTCGAAGGGGTAATCCATTATAAATGCTGAACATCTCACTCAGTTGCATGTACCTTTGGATACTTAGGTTTCAAGTAACAGTTTACAACTGATGCTGACCTTTTTTATTTTAACGAGTACTATATGTTGGTAGCAAACGGCCAAGGATATCCTCTTATGCCAAATGAAACCCAGTACCATTCTTCATCTTCCAGATAGCCACCGGAGCAATCTAATGCCTTTCCATTTCCAAATAAGATTTAACATTTTGTTCCTCTTCATGTTAACTGTTCTGCGCAATATTTTCTGTGGAGTCCTCCGGGGAGGTCACTTGAGGAGCACTTGAGTTACATAATTCCATAACTCTGTTACACGGAGAAAAATTTGGGCACACACGTAATAGTTTCAGGCCTGCTAAAAATTATAGCTAAGATAGATACAGTCCTTTTATTATTTTCTGCCCTTTTTATCACATCGGGCGACACTATACTCTTTGAATTTTCTTTAAATTCCGTTACAAGAATCTCTCATATGCCATGCTTTTTAAGATCACGAACTAGTCTAAAATGAAAAAAGTTAGAAACCAAGAAACACATGCTCACTGGTGACTTGCTTCCAAAGGAAAAAATCTGGACTCTTAGTTGGGGGCTGAGATCGGTAGGGTTAGATCGTGTCAGATGTAAGGTAATCAAAAAAAGACGATACAATATTTTCACATACTCTTGTGAGCTGAGAGAAGTTAAACTTGTACTCCAACTAAATCAGGATCAGTGGTTCAAAGGTTAAACCTTCAAAAAGGTAGGAGTGTGCTGCTAGGAAGTAACAGACTAGGGTAAAAACGTTGACCAGTGTTCTGTGGTTCTCAACGGCTGTTTGACTCAGATCAGCTTGTGATATCAATAAAATTACTTTTTAAAATTTATATGACTATTGGAAAATATGTCCTACAGCCTAACCTGTTCATAGAAGTCGACTCAAAAGAAATGCTGCGAAAGAAAGGATTCGTTTTTTGGCGTCCGAAAATTTCACAAAGTTTGTTGGACTAAAACCAGCATGTGGAGATAGAACCTTAAAAACCTATTTTGTAAATAATTTTTCATAGTTTTCGCATGTATTTTCATATTCTGTACATTAAGCATTAAACAATTGTACTTGTTGTTTAACTGTATTACTTTGAACTCTTGTAACACACCTTCCTTCCGTTGTGAGTACAACATACCGTGCCACTGTTAATTCTCCTCAACAAATACACTCTAATTCACATCTGCATGGTTCTGTCCTGTCTGCTAATATGTTGAATGAATAAATAATATGAACATAATCATTACTAATCGGCTGGTAATGCGGCGTCAAATACTTGGTTTATGTATAGACATTAAAGTAGGGATCACCGTGAAACCAAAATTGCTGAAGTTCAGTTAAGGTTGTCGCGTAAAAAGTAGAAAACGACGATTGTTGAGTACCGATGAGATGGATGAACATCAGTTGTCTATCGAGAACATAAGTTCCTACTATCGGGAGTATGACTCCAAACTTATGTCTGGGATAGAGTGTAATATTAGACCGAAAATGACATGAAAAAAATTGGAACGAATTCACCCCAATCAGGAAAAATTTTCGTCATTGGATAATAAAAATAATCCAGTGAGTTTCGAATATCATAACGTGTAATGTCCATATCATTATAATTTGTTCGATTAGTTATATGACTGCGTAAATGTCATAGTTTAATGTCAATACGAACAAAAATAATAATTCCACGTTAGATGATGATATGACAATATTGTAATAATGAGCTTGTGATGATTATTTGAATCATAACGGAATATGTCGTCGACGGTTCTATTTTGGTTTGTGTTCGCTCGTTGTGGTCGCCAATTCTGTTGCTTGTTCCAAATATAGCTAACCAATATGTTGAGTGTTCGCATGTAGGGCTAACCAATATGTAGTGTAGTGCTTCGTTAATCGATCGTCTCGATAACCGTTATTATATCAATCTAAACGGTGTATAATATCAGAAGACAAAGGGAAGCGGCAACTACATGTTTATTGACAAATAACATAGGCTAGAAGGCAGTAAGCACATGAGTAAATGTTAGCGAGCGAAGAAAAAATAACATACATGGGAGATGGCTGGTAAGCGGAACTAACGAATGATACTCATCTACAAACTAAACAAAAGATAACAAAATGTCCACTATTGACGACGAATTTCAGTATGGGGTGATGACCTACTGAAATTCAGAAACTGAGTGAATATATTGTTCTAATTCTAATGTCAAATGCTATAATCAAGTGTTTAGAAAGATGGCTTCATGAGTGACCGATAAAAATTAGTCTTAGTCGCTCCTTTTATTGCGATAAACATGTCAAATTCCAGTTGAACAACTATCAACAGATACCTCATGTCTTGCCGTAAAGAATAGTTATTGAGTATGGAAGTACTACATTGAAGGTATGAATAAAGCGAAACGATATAGACAGATTCAGGAAAGTACTTGTGAGAGATTATATTTAACAATTGAAACAACCAAATGAGCCAAAAGAAGTTTCTTTCAGATTCTGATCATCAAACGTTTCTATAATGACTTTATGGTTACTGATTTTAAATATTGAAAAAGAACTGTAAATAACGGCGGGCATCCCGGGTTTCTCGAAAATACCGCGTACTTTGGGTTCTTTGAAACTAAGTGTGTAATTCTGGATCCACCACATTTGTGAGTATTGCCTTTTTTATGTTGCTTTGATACATTACGTTTTACGTGTTATTTGAGACAATGTTAATTATTCACCTAAGCAGACTCAATTTTACAGGAATATTATTCCTGGCTAGCGCGCCGCTTGCGCTAGCTATGCGACCTCCCTATTTTGGGGAAGCCGCTATAGAAACATTTCAGGAAATACCACAAAACCCCCAAAATTTTCTCGGATCTAGGGAACTCCCCGAAATTCGGGGAAGGCTGTTGGACTTTTGGGAAAACCCCAAAATGTATTTTGGGGAGATTGGGTAGTTTCGATTCATTCTTGTTTACATAATGAAATTCGGCAAAGCTTGCGTAAGGACCTATAAGCCTGGTAGTCGGAGCGTGCCAGTAAGTTAAAAGCAGCAGATGCATCTGGTAGCTGCCGGAAGCTCTTCCAACGCGTCTGAGTCATTGGCGGCAAGAATTCTGGTGTCAAACAATTTGTGAAGATGACAGAATACCAATTACTAACATCTATCGACGTCTTGGACGATAAACAGAGTTTTTTGGGGAACAGTTAAACTGATCTACTGTCTTGACAACATCGATCAGACCATCCTGCCATTCATGGCCTTTGACGACTGATCCACCCAACGAGGCGGAAGTCCTCAAAGAACTCCAACTCTTGAACCGCCACAAACCACCAGGCCCAGATGATTTACCCCCAGCACTTTTTAAAGGTGATGGTGACTTTCTGTTTAGGAAATTGACTGAGTTGTTTACAAAGTTCTGGCAGGTGAGACTATAATTTATGGATGACCTTCGAGCGACACGAGACTGACCTTGATAATGTCCATCCAATAATTAGGACCAAATGAGGGTTATAAACCTGTTTGAGGAGTTAAAATTATGATTTACAGTTGATGGTTAAGGTTAGGCATTAAATTTAGGGTTTCCACGAACTGACATCAGCTATAATACCAAAACTCTATTTAGTCAAATAGGTGAGTGAATTTCGCGCTGAAATCCAAAACCTGTTATTCTAAATCTGACCGATTCGTCCATAAGTTATAGTCTCGCCGATTGTCCAAAACCCGAAAGATTGACATGCGAGGAGCAGACTGGTTCTCATTCTGGTCGAGGAGGTATTGATTATATCTTCACCTTCCACCAAAGGTCAGTACACCATCATACTTATTTCAGGCCATAAATCGTAGTGTTTCTCGACATTGGGGTCACCTTCGATTCGTTGGACAGGACTATTCTCTGGGATTGTCTATTGAAGAAGGGTGTGCCTGACAAGTGTATTGACATCTTGAAGGCCCTGTATACAAACACCTCAGGTACAGTGAGAACATACAACCACTTTTCCACTCAAGCAGTGGGGTTAAGTAGGGTTTCCTAATCTCATCATTCCTCTCCAACCTTACTATCGACGTTCTGGAAACAGCTCGGATAGACGCAGGTAATGGTGGTGTATACCTGTTGCCTGGGGAAAGACTTCCACCCTGAGTATGCGGATGATATTGCCCTAACGTGCAATGATACCTAGGCCATGCAGTCTGCAATTAATCAGTTGGTAATTCGTGTCCGTAGGTATGGTATGTGCTTTGTAACTTTAAATTGCAAAGTACATTCAAAAGACTAGCAGGAACCTGAACCTGCGCATACACTAGATAGTCAGGATACCGAAATAGTCGAAAAGTTAGTGCATCCGGGTAGCTGCGTAAGTGTAGGTGGTTACGTGAATGATATCAATTCGTGTACAGTGAAAGTCAAAGCGGTTTATGCCAATCTGGGCAATCTTTGGCGCCTTCGTGATGTTAGTCTGGCTGTTAAAGGTCGGATCTATAAAGTGTTGATGAGAGCAGTTTTGCTATATGTACTGTAATTGTACTGTAATGCAGAGGCTCGGCATCGTGTGTTCAGGCGCAGAGACGATAATTCAATTGGTGTCACTATCTTAAAACATCGACTTTGGTGGCTTGGACATGTTCTATGAATGTCGTCCCAGAGAATTCCACGTCGTGCATTATTCGCCGACTCTAGGACTAATTGGGAAAAGCGGACAGGTGGTCAGTGTATGACATGGTGTTGTGGTAGGAGAGTTGTACAGGACTGGCTTTCGTTGATCCGTAACGACTCCCTGGTTGGAGTCCTAGAGATAGTACAATACAACGGCTAGAGATGTTATAATACATGGTTCAGAATAGAAGCCAGTGGCGATCTCGCCGTAACCATCTTTTACTTTCTTCATAAAAAATGAATGTAACTTCTTTAATTGAGAAAATTCTTTCTGGTTATATTTTTGCTAATGGAACTGTTTCTCCCTTTATTACTATTATTATTATCTCACCCTCATACACTAATTTCTGTTTGTTGTTGTCCTTTTGTTATACGCACTTTACATTTTCTATCTCTTCACAACCTCATTGTTATTGTGTGGCGCATATGTATTTGGTGCCCCCTTGTACTAATGTTTATGTTCAAATAAATAAGATAAATAAATACATGTTTGTTTCGGTAATCTGATTTTCTGTCATAAATTATAATTATTTAGTCAGTGCTTTCATCTGTACTCTGTATTAACTTGTTAATAGCAGTGACGGTATTGTGGAAAAATGTCTAATTTCGCCAATCTTATAATCACCACAAATGCATCAAAATTAAGATCTGAAAAACGTTATCCGCTTGATATAACTTTAGGCCAAATGAAGGTATTATTCAGTCCATTAATTAGTCATTTCTTTAGGAGAAGCTAGTTTTAGTTACAGGTTGCGATAACCGTACAATGAAGGTAGAGTTGTTTGATAAAGAAGATAGATCCCTGGGTCAATTAGTTGGTGATGACAAACTACTTTATGATTTCGGTATTGAGGATGGGATGCACATTCATGTAGCAGATCCAACGATACAAGATGGAGCATACGACCAAGTTGAGGAACCTGTCGAAACTTACCAAATGTCGGCCGAGGAGTATGCAAAACGTGAGGGTACGTTAATTACTGTTGTTAGTCATTATTAAGCTTGTGTATTGATGTTTCTTCTCAATTTTACAAATGTATTAAAGTCTTGTTAATCAAGAGATTAGTATTAATCACATGCTATTAGGTCAGGCATTTTTGATGTACTAAAGGTTATTGTCGTATCACTTAACTGATTTAATGCTCTGTAAGGAATCCAAATATGTAACGAAAATTGTAAACCGTCTTTCAACTAAAAGAATAAACTCATATACAAATCCCAGCTAAATTTTTTGTCCTTCGATACCAGGTAATTGTGACTTATCATAGCAAATATAACCTCTGTTTACTCTTTAAGAATCAGTATTGGCATGGAAACGGCGTAACAAAATCGGGCAATTTCGAGACGTTGATCCTGAGGAAAATAAACGGACAGAAGAACAACGTCAATTGGCAGAATTGAAAGAAAAACAAGATGCCGAATCATTATCTATAGGTTCTCGGTAGGTAGAAACCTTCCTGCAGTCCTTTTCTCTGTATGTTATATGGTCCGTTAATCGTATTTTGATTCAAATGTTATGCAGATACTACCGCATTCTACTTCACTTCAGGTAGCTGTTGAACCTATGTACAAATAACAATTACTATCCCATAATCACACATCTTAATTAACCATACCTTCGGTTAAAACTGTTGAAAAGATAAGCGATACTACCCCACACATACATAAACTCATTCCCCGAATTTTTATGGTTTCTTTCAGATACTTTTTTTTATTTTTCATGCCTTCATTCGCTGATGTAGTGTGGCAGTTTGTACCGAAATACTGGGTAAACTTGTCCAAAGGGGATAAATAAGACAAGATCAGTGGCGAATAAAATCTAATGAACCTATTTCCTTTGGTTCTATTGCGCGTAACAGAGACCACTTTACAACGAATCGTGTCAGTTTTAATTACTCCAATTCACTATTTGTCGAAAAAGCTACAGGATATTGAGATATCTGACTAAATTACATGGTTTATTTTTAGACAAGATCAAATACATACAACTAAGTAACGACGAAATACTGGTATCCGGTGTTACACCTCTATTCACTTTTATAGGGACAATATCCCCCAAAGATACCGTATCAAAACTGGTCAGTAACCAAGAACGAATTCCAGAACATATAGAAATGCAGTAAGCAAATTTAATACAACTCGTCGAAATGGACCTTACAACATATTTCCTATTTCGATAGACAAGTCCACAAATAGACCAAAGAGACTCCATTAGAACCACCTGTATCAGTACTAATAGTAGAAGCTGTTATACAAAGGCTTGAGGCTAGATTTTAGTCGATAATCAAACCAGCAAATGAACACGTTACGCAGATGACAAGTTTGTTATCTTCCGAAGAGACAGACTTGATTAACACCATCTTTATAGACATAACGCTTACAAGGAATGAATATTCACCAAAAGAATATCCATTCCTGAATGTAGTAATCAGCAGAAGACGCAGAAACGGTTAAGAAACAGTTATAAAAGTTGAGCCATACAAACCAAATAGTGGATTACACCAGCGCGCAAATAGAATTACATACAGACATTATAAGAACCAAAACTCTGTAAAGCATTCTCACCCCATGAAAAGCTGAAGAAACCTATTTTCTGTCAGTCCTTAGCAAAAAGTTATTTTTACAATCTCACCAAAAAGTGTTTGGTGAGTCGACGCACAATCGCAACGTTGTATTCGGAAACTGGAAAACAAATCGTTCTGTTATGTGTGAAAATACCTCGGAAATCACTATAAGGACTGTCAAGCCATTCAGAATTAATGTCTCTAACAAGCTAACACAATGATGTAATTCTATCTTGTGCAGACAAAATGACAATAACTTAAATTGATATATTATCTATTTGAGAAACTATACTGACAGTAACGAACAGTGCATTAGACAAGGTAGACATATCCTTTATGTACGCGGCATAAACACAAGCTATGAGTGAAACAAAATAACTTATCATGTATGTCTCTGGACGCAGACAACCAATGTGACCAAAATTATGGGTCAAAAAATGTTGAAAACCTTCTAAAAGCCTCAATCTGTATTGAGTAATCTTGTCGCCATGGATGCAACAAGGTAACTCGCATGATCAGAGGCCAACTGAATAAGACAGACAATCGCAATAAGATGACAAATGAAGGTAATCAGCCACAAAGTTATCACAGTGGACTGATTTATCACTCATGGGATAATCAAATAGTCCACTTATATGTGAAGTAAGCGCTAATTATATTATCTAACAAGAAAACGAAAGGTTCGCAGCTTAACCACTTAGTTCATAGGACGTAACAGAGTGGAGTTCAATGTACACTTTTACCATATTTTACTTTGTTTATAACAGTCTGTTAAAACAATTAATATGAATAGACTAAATATAAATCAGTAGTCAATACTTCGAGGCTTTTTTCTGTGTATTCTTACATATAGTGCTTATGGAATATATAGTCTACAAATGTATGTCTGATAAATTAGTCATTATAAAGACCTAGAAATTTCTGGTTGAAGTTTCATCATAATTTTCTATTATCGTTAATCTACTTACATGGATTCACGTTCTAATCCTATATATTTAATGCATCAGGTGTGAAGTTCGGATTCCTGGTCAACCGACAAAACGAGGTGTAATAGAATTTGTTGGTAAGTATATAACCTATAGGTTTTTTTTCACTGGACTTTTCATAGAATCCAACTTTCCAACTATTCCTATTCTGATGATATGCATCCGTTTGTCAAGCACACGTTTATGTACTTAATTTTCAGAGGATCAGTGATATAACCTCAGTTATTCAGATCAAAGTGGTTTAAACGAAGTTCGAACCTGGAACTTGTTAGCTGAAAGTTGAGTCTTTTAACTACTAAGTATTCATTTCGTAAAACTATTCTATAGGATACTTGCAACATCAAGTGTAATGCTATATTTTCAACTGTTTAAGGTATATTGATGGCAGATGAGTAAAGATAAGAAGCCTCCTCTGAGTAAGGAATATATTTCCGTACTTAAATGTAAAGGTATTTACTTTCAAATCGTGAATAAATAAAAATAAGTTGAGGGTCGAATTAAATCCGTCATTTCCCACTGCTGATCGGTCATCCTCAAGGGTCAAACACTCTGATCATAGCTTCTAACGTGGTTTCGCGAAAAATACTTTGTCAGTTGTAGACAAAGATATTGAGCTTTAATTATTAATGTATTTGGAACATCTACCATTTACGCTATTTATTGCCATGTGCAAATAGTTGTAATAGGATTCATCTTTCAAATCAAGCATTAAAAACTTTCAAAATATATGCTTAACACTAAGTGATTTCATTTTGTACTTTAAATTAGTCTTCATATCCATAATTTTTGTTTCCTAGAATCAAGCAAGATCCTAGTGTTAAGTTAATCTTGCAAAAAAATTCAAGACCTGCCCGAATAAACTTTATTTCATAAAAAAATGTTTAATAACGACTATTTAGATCATACGAAACATAGTCAGTCAGAAATTCGGTTAAAAAAGATATTTCATTGGGAATGTTTGTCCAAGCAAATGAAAAAGTTTCCTTGTATAAAAATATTTTTGAATATATTATCAAAATATTATTCCTTTCCAGGGATTTGCTTCAATATAATTTGACCCCCAAGTGCCCTGGTACGGCCGAGAGTGGGTAGAGTCATCTCTCCCTCTGCAAATGCTCTCATATGGCCACGCGTATATAGCCTCTGCCAGGGAAGTCCTACTCACTGCCTTAGCGTGGCATTACTGTTGCTTACGAAATTGAGAGGATGAATAGCGAATTTACGGAGCTCTAACCGGGTTAGTGGACATGGAAAGTCCACCTAGGGAAGTTGAAAAACCCTGATTCTAAACCAATGGTGCACATGGGCACCAGTATCCTGAGGGAACAAATGGCGTATGAATCAATCGTTGGTCACCGGCTACTATGGGATTGCATCTCCTTACGATGCTCCACTGCCTTGTAGACCAAACCTTTAGGTCAAAGGCTCAGGGTATGACCCCCTAAGAAAACCACCTGCTTCGGTCTTGGCACGCGGGCAGTATCATATTCGTCACACAAATCAAAGAAGATTTGTGCGGCGCATATGTATTCGGTGCCCCTTTGTAGCAATATTTATGTGTTCAAATAAATAAATAAATTATATGAATAAGCGAACGATTTGTTGAATGTTAAATCAGCTCGCTTTTGCAATGATTTAGTTATCTTTTATATTGGATGCAACCGTCGCTGATATATAGCGTTATAATAACCAACTAGAGGTGTTTTTTCTGTATATACCACCCAAAGAGCAGCAAAGATCTGAAGCATTAAGATTATTCACAATGCTATAATTTTAATAAATATTCATTCTGATTTAATGTTGCAGTAAATGAAATCTGAACACTTATCATATATATTTTCAGGCCAAACCAAATTTAAACCTGGTTATTGGGTCGGAGTTCGTTATGATGAACCTTTGGGAAGAAATGACGGAAGGTAAGTTTTTTTCACAATACGTTAATACTTTTATTGATTTAATGACTATAATTCAAATATGGTAAGCAGAGATGGATAGTGGCTAGCAGTGGAATCCAGGACGCGCGTTTCGTTCAAATAGTTAATATGGAATATCTATATCTGAAGTGCTATAACTCTTCGCGTCAATGTATTTTTTTTATCTGTTCAAATAAGATCTACCATCAGTAAGCTTGTTATGTGTGTATTTGTGCACACAAATTTGAAATCAACAATTAATATATTCAAACAGAAATAGAGTTTTTATTAATGATCAGACAGTTTTAGTCTAAATTGATTCAAATATAAATCTCCACCGATTCAACAAACCTAATACAGAAGTAATAAGTTGTATCGTTCGGTCAGAAGTAACGTAGAATCTACCCCATATGTTATGTCATATGATCACAATGAACTAAAATTATCACGACAAATCCCAAACTAATAGATGTAGTAACTGTTATATCTGTGGCCGAGTGGATGGCTAGTTGATGTGTGACGCGATAAGACCGCCAATTAGGGAGCAGCGAATTATCGGTTGAACAGTGACACGAAACCCGTATGAGCAGCCTAGATTGCTAACCGATCCTGCGATCTGCCTAACCCAGCCAGTTGAGTCCAGAACACAAATAACAGCCTCGGCAGTATGGATCATTATTTACAAACATAATGGGTTTTTATACAAACCAAAGTAATCAATAACTGAGTATAACTCAAGAATCGTATGATAATAAATCAAAGATCAAAATAAAGCTCATGATAAGAGAAACACAAATATGAATAGTTTAGTTACGTAACAATTGTACAATAGGAAATAGGCATAATACAGTGGTCGATAAATAGACCTTAGAGTTACCATTCATAATTCACCAGGGGATATAACAGTAACAGTATCAGGAGTGGTACAAAAGACCAAGTATAGACGATATGATTCGAGAATAAAGAATGAATCCGTAGGATAAAATAAGGCATAGAATAAATTCGAAATTAAGGATCTAAGGGAATTTTCGGATCTCGTTATTGGTGTACGGGCAAAATCACGCGTCAACTGTTACATTGGAGGACGGGTCATAATTAAACTAAGTGTTCCTCAAATGTAATATTCGACACGTGATATCGCCGCTATGAAGATATACCTAATGTTGATTTTGCAGATCAAGAAAACTCTTAGAAGGTACATATTCTACTACGGAAACTCGACGCATTAAGACTTGATAAATATTGTAGCATCATATTACTGAAAAATACACGTAAAAGAAGTCTTACAGATACCTCCACCTCACTTGGTCAGCTGTTTGATGATCAGTCTTCGATTTTTCATTCCCATTATCAATTCTTGCGTCTATTGATGAGTGAAGAGGACGATTTTCTTACACATGTTTAAATAATAAATCGAGAATATGAGTGTTTAAAATTAAAAACTTTCCAAAGACCACTTTAAACTATTAACACTCATCTGCAGCCCACAATCTGAAAAGTTAGCTGATTTTCGTACATGACTGCTACATCGTCTCGATTGGGATCCCACGTTAACACTTAAAGAAGCTTATGAGAAATATCGGCAATTGAAAAACCTAAAACACGACATCAACCTAACCAAACCTGATGGCCAAGATAGGTTTGACCTCCAAGCAGTCCAAAATAAATTCAGTCCTCATCCCAAGACCCCAACACTCACCCTAACACGGAAAATCATCAGAAGAGAAGTCTAAAGTCTCCCCGTCTAGGTACTAGCATTGTAGTGTATGGGATTTTACAAATTCATATCCGTTTATAAACCACTATTGTAAAAAATGTTACACCGTTGAACATAAAGAGACATTGCAAGCTGCAAACTAGCCTCCCGCAATCAAGGTTTCGAAGAAGGTACAGATCTAGCATAAAGCCATTTAAAGCTTGTTCTGTGTTTATAGTAAATCATGTGCACAAAAATCTATCCAGGGAGTTTTTTCAAGTTCTGATAACACTCCAGTTTATGGGCTTACAATTACGTACAAAGAGTCAATTTAATCAGCCTAAAGTTCATGTACTGAGCTTTAAGCTACACTTTTTGTATAAAGATTATCGATACTACTTGAACGTTGTAACTGGAGTAAGTATATGCGGAAGTTTTAAATTTTTAATCAGAAGGACTCCAAAACCTTATCTGTAAGATACCTATTAGTTTCCCGAATCTATTACCGTCAGTGATAATAAAAATGTTAAGTTCATAAGTAAAAATAGATGTTTGACTAAGTTCCCTGTGGTAATGTCGTTATCAATATCGTAATCAAAATGAATAACCAGGAGAAACTTAATCTTGAAACCTATTGTCTGATATCACTACAACGTGACCAGCCTAAGATCGTTTGTTAAGAAAAACAACACACATCATCAGTGACCCGTACTTTTTTCAGAATTGTAACAATCCCTAATACTTGGTAAGCAAAGATGGATAGTGGCTAGCAGTGGAATCCAGAACGCGCGTTTCGTCCTATTTGGGACTAGTCACCCGGATGTACCTGCATCTCAAAGTTGATGTTCACTCTGGGACTCGAACCCAATACCTTTCGCTTCAAACGCCATCGCGTTATCCACTCGGCCAATGAGTCCTAATAGCCACTTGCTTGTGCGATGGGGTGAAGTTTAAATTCATTTAGTATTGTTTGTTGGGAAGATTCAAACAAACGATACTAAATGAATTTAATCCCTAATACTGTTTCGGTTAATAAAATGAAGTCATTTTTGAAAAGTCAAATATGATTTACAGTTCGTAATTGTAGTAACGAGAGATTTCTTACCAAATACTTTATTCTGATGACATCCTAACATTTAGTCTGTAAATGAACCGTTGAACATTAATTTTGTATTTGTTTTTCAGTATTGATGGAGTACGATATTTTCAATGTCCAGAAAAGTATGGTGCATTTGTAAAACCGCAATATGTTGAGGCTGGTGACTTTCCTGAACTTGGTATTGATGATCTAGATGAAATTTAATTACTTATGATCTTTATACCAATCTACTTGTATAAAACTAAGAAAATATTTTTATACATTCAATGGAAAATATATCAAGCATAATATATTTGATAACTTGCAATGTATAATAAAAAATAGTCATAATTGGTTCTGTTTGTTTGTGATCAATTTCTACCTTAATTATCTATGATAGTGCAATGAAATAGAATGTCACGGTGTATAGTTTTTGTTATTTCGTTGAATACAGAAGAAATAATGAATTAATCGTTGTGTTATAACTTGTGACCGAGTGGATGCCCTGTTAACGTATGACGTGATAAGACCGCTAATGGGAGAGTAGCGATTTATCGACTGGAAAAGTGACACGGAAATCGTATGAGCAGTCTAGAGTACGTATCGGTCGTGCTTCAACCTAGCCCAGCTAGTTAAGTCCAGAGCAGCTTCTGCGGTATGAATCATTGTATTACAAACATACTGAGTTTATACACCAAACAGACAGACCGCATCTTACCAATAAAGTAGAAAATAACATTTGTACAAGATTCAGCCAAATGTGGGAGGCAATAATCAATAGACTGGGTGTAATTCATGAATGGTAAATCGTATATCAATAGTTTATAGTTCAAAATAAAGCTCATGATAAGGGAAGCATGAACAGTTTAGTTATTTAGCAATTATATGACAAAAAATACGTGCATAATATTAGTTCATAAATAGATCCCAAAGTTACCATTCACTATTGTTATTGGGATATAACACGTTGACACCAAATAATAGTTTTCCCATCATCTATCACTTATTACAATGTAATTAAACAGATTTACCTATTGAAATAAAGGTATTTAATGTATCGAATGTTTAATAATATCAAACTCGCTAGTTGAATGGGAACTGTTTAGTACATCACATAATGATATATTTTGTTGTTTTTGAACACTTGTAAAATAATTTATAGGTGAGCAGAAGTAAAGGTTATTTATCTTTGCTCATTTATCATAGGCATCTATTGATCGAGCAATGTCCCAATTATGTATACAATTCTGTTAAGTGGGAGAATAGCATGGTAATTTATATAAACTTACAATAATGACATTAAACAGGAATAGATTGAAAAATCTAAGTAGATTTTTGAATCTGTGTTTCGTTCCTTACAATGATAAGTAATCAAACTTTCATTTCATTCACTTATTGTCAATTTACGACGTCCTACCTCATTAAGCAATCTGAAAAGGAGTCTAGCAATCCACTTTCACTCAATACCACTACATAGAAACTTAAATATTAGTAAACTTTAGGTTTTAGTTGTCTATTTAAAAACCAGTAGGGAAAAGGAATGTATATTCTAGGTGCTAAATTGGCCACTTTTACAGTTGTAGGAATTGTATCGATATCTGAAGTCCGGTTTAATATGTGATTTTTTGGACATTCATTATTCTTAGTTATACAAGGTATTAGTAAAGTTAGAAATTAAGTCAGCTCCATGTAAGAATGGAGTATTTTACCGATATTTTGGAGAGCTCTATGACAAACCTAACTTGCCATGCTTGGTATCCTTTCGCGGGTTGGAATGACAATCATCGCTGTGGACCTTAATACATGTACAAATTAGTCACTTTTCTACTGATGAGTAGCGATAACATGATGTTATCTTAATCGGTATGAAGTAAGAATGTTGTCGTCTTTAAGAAAGTTAATAAGTATGTTGTACTAATGTTCGTGATTTTCATAGCAATGCTCATTGTCAATAACCTAAAGGATCAGACGAACAGATTCCAAGCCTCGTGTTGTGAAATACTGAGATATATTAGTTTCAAATCCTTAATCGTAACAGTGGCTTATTTTTTTTCAGATGACTCGAGTCCCAGTAAATGGTTTTTTTCGGTAGACGAATCCATCTATACGTATGGAACAGAATGACTATTTTTTGTGATTGACTATTCAACCTAGCCTTGTGTTACTAAACACTGATGTGCTTGGTTAGATAGTAAGTTATTAAGATATCAGAGATCGCTAGGGTGAGATCATCAAGATTGTAGTTCGACAAATACAAATCTTTCAGTTACTAAACAACAAATCAGATATTCAACGTACGTTCAGATCTTTAGACAGAGAAAGTGATTATGGTCCACAACACATATATTACACTTTGAACTCAAGTTATCCCCTTACTGCGATTCAGCCACTATGGTCTCAATCATTACATAAAACAGTTGATACATTTATAAATAAGTATTACACACTGGTGACATTGTTGACAACTTAAATACGGTGTTGCTTATTTATATTTGGTAAACGTAGTACTTTATTTCACATCGATTCGACGTAACTCATATGCCAATTACATAATCATATACTCATTTTCGCATGACACTGTGAGGACTGGGAATGCTTCCAGGTCACTCAAACTGAGGTCAGTGGATCAACTTATGAACATGAAACTTAGTAGCTAAAATTTGAATGAACTTAACCACTGTACATTAGACTGCTGAGACAAAACAATTAACTACCCGTTGTACACCAACTGAACCAAATGCTTGATTTCCTTATGGTTAGTTGAATTTTTGTTAATGATTGATAACTAATCGGTATTATAACCGTCTTTAATAGTAAAACATCCACACCTATTCATGTATATGGAAACAATGTTTGATGCAACTTGTTGCTTTTCCAATCCGCCAGTTTATTTAACTCATGACAACTAATGTTTCGGTAATAGCAAAGTTTGAAGGCGTCATAGATCCATAGAAGTTATTGATTCTGTATTCCAATAAACCAAAGGTAGTCTGATTTTATGTCCTTCATTCGATAAGCTTCTTGGTACCAGTGAAATTGAATTCATGCTTATAATAATTTATTACAAAGACGGATGAATGGCAGCTACCAGTGTAATTCAGGACTCGCGTCTCATTTTATTTAGGAATGGTCAGCTGGATGTACCTACAGCCCAGAATTGATGTCCACTCCGATTTTCGAACCTGGTACGGTTCACTTTAAACAGTATTTCATTAACAACTGAGTAACCAATGGTTGGAGACTGTGTATGACATGACTCAGAATCGATCACAATGGCGTAGGTGTATACACATTTTGTCTTCCCCTAAACTGTGAGATTAAAATTACTTTATATCTTCCACTTTACCAACTCTTTTATTCTGTACTATATCCCTACACACAACCTACCAGTGAAGTAACTACCTCTATGAATTCGGTGTTCATCTTGTACTAATGAGGTGTGGCAACTTGGAGCGATGCATATATGTGCCTGGTCCCACGTTGTAGCTGACTGATTCGGTGAATAGGTTACCGGTCCTACAGGCAGTATATGTGAACTGATCAAGAGTTGGTTCCGAGAATAGAATTCCTACTGTATTTATTTATTTAGTTGAACTCATACAAAGGGGCGCCGAATACATATGTGCCACACAAGTTACTTGATTTGTATATGGGCTGTGGTACTGCCCGCTTATCTAAACTAACTACCCGAACAAACAAACCCCAGTACTACATAAGTATCCGTTTCTGTTTTCACTGTTTCATCACTTACAAAACAAATCATGATTTTAATGGTTGATATTTCTAAAATCAGTAGACTAACAAACTGTGTCTTGCTGAAGAACCTCAGCAAACAGCAAAGTAACCTACAAGTGCTCACTGTTATACAAGATTTCTTCTTTTGATATCATGTCAGATGACGTGGAATATTAATTATGAATTCATCAAAAATTCGTAGCATGACTGCATTGAGTTGCATGAGTAGTTTGAATAGAACCACATCAAAATCAATATAAGTTGTCGTTTAGATAAATTTAATTGAGAAAGAACGTTTATTCAAAAGATAAGTATCTAACAATTTACATTTTTGTAACTATACGTTTACAGTTCAAAAATTACAATGTAAACTGTATCTTACATTGTAAAATAATGAGCGATATATTACAGTGGGGTTGTTAGTGGTGGTTAACTTTTGTTGGATTCTAGTATATCTTTGGCCTGATTGATCTTAGCAGCCAAGTATGGGGAACCACCTGAGTTAAATACACGATAGATATATTACACTTAAGCAAATTAAAAGATTATACTTTGTGCACAATATTCATATAAGGAAAATAAATAGCTACGGAAAACTGACAGGCATGAATCTGAGGATAATTTATGAAATGATGGTTTAAAGTATACCCTTGTTGTTTGTCAGATGAGTCACTTTTTAAACATGGACAATAACTTTTTACGAATACATCTTTCATATATAGTTAAGTTTTATTCCATTGTAAGTTGGCCGCTTCATTTGTTATGAAATTATTTTACGCATTCCATTTACGCAAAATATTAATTAACAAGAAACTCCATTTTGATCCTTGTTATCGTGAACCGACAAAAGCTGGATAAGTGGTAGGCCTCGAATAGCAAGCTTTTATTTCAATCTCTTCAAGAAGCTGATGGGATATAGACAGACAAAATAACTGTTAGATTACTCCGTTGATAGAAATCTCAAGTTTACATTGAAGTGTAAATACTAGGGCAGAAGCATGAAAATATATGAACAAGTCTTTCTTAATGAATTTGGCAAACTAAATTGTGAATAACTTCCGTTATTACACTGACTATCATAATTATTACATGGATTCCAGTCAGAAGTCTACACTTGATACAGCTAAACACGACAAATAATGATCATTTTCCGGGTTGCTTCTTGATATTCGATTTCCAACTTACTCCTATACCAGCTAGCGCAGCATACGGATGTAAGCAGTGGGTGACATGTGAGATCATGAATTAATCACTGACATAAGGGGAACTATGATCCTTTGCATAGGTCGCTGAGTAACATCATTGAAAATCGAGGAATTGGAAACATATTTTCCCAAATATTAGACGCTTTATAAACTGATGGCCTGGATATTCTTATTTGATGAAGTAGTCCAACAGTTTGAGCAACATAATTTAACGTAACAAAGAAAATTGACAATAAACAAGCACTAAGACAAAACTACGAAAGCGAAACCAAAGAACGAGGTGCAGTTACGTAGAACAACAAACCCGAACATTTATAAAGATAAATGAGGACATCTGAGATACTACATGATTAGTAGAAATTAAATTGTTTTGAACCACCGACCTCTACATTTCTGCGAATTTCAATCAAGAAACCTAGTGTATCATACAGCCTAGATAGAGCCCATGCAGAAATCTACGAGGGCGAGCAATAAGTAGATAATTTACAATCTACAACCAGAAACAATGGGCGAAATCTGATGACTAGTCGTAGCATATAGAAACTTTATTTAATTATCTAGTGAGTTACAGAAAACAATAACAGACTTCCACGATAGAATATAGATTATCAAACCGTCAACATACCCAATACTGCTAACAGATTATAAATAACCAAAATCGAATAATAATAATGTGGGGTTGATTAAAGATAAGAAGTTAGTTGGTTATAATATTGATGCAGAAGTTAACATAAAATAGGAAATTAGTTATAATTTTATTTTGAACTCACCTTTATCGGGATGGTTAAGAATCATGATCTTCTTGTGAGCATCTCTAATTTTATTTTTACTTGACTGTTGACTAAAATACAAGGCAAAGATGAACACTGTTTTAGAAAGTAAATTCAAACCTTTCAATGTTTAAAGTTTGTAAAGAATAATCAATATTAAGTAAGAGATAAAGAGCAAGTAACTAAATTTTCAGATGGTCTAGTTGAATATGATGAAAGCATACTTTAATAATGGTTCTAGCAACTCTTGTGAAAGCGAAGTCAATTCTTAGTGAGAATGAAGGTGGTAGAGATGAAAAATGTATTATACGAATACCCCAAAAAGATTGGTGTTAGTATTTAAGGCTACAGTCAGGAGTTTGAATTCAGATTTACGGTTAGGAGTAAGTTAAGATCAGGGCGCCAGAATGCTTAATAGACATATTGATGAACATATAATGAGTTCTTTGAAAATGAAAACGATTCTTTTTGGCGGTTTTTAAAAGACAAATATCAAGTTTTAAGTCTTTGCAATTATAATGTTGACAAAAATTTTTGGTGTTAGTTATGTGACATCATCAATTTACAAACAAAAGGGATAATCGATGTTTGCTATGAATTCAAATCAACATATTAAAAAATCACCGCACTATAAAATAGTTCGAGATCAGTCAGCTAAGCAATCTGTATTATCTACATCGTATATAATCGAAGTGAGAATACTTAGTGAGTAACGGGATTTTAAACCCCAAGTCCTAAACTAGCTAAAGTTTGTTCTTGTATATAGGGAAGCGAACTGAGAGAATTGATGGAATCCCGCTATTTTTGGTACAATAAGATCAGTTGATATAGCCAAGAGATGATGTGGCAAAAGCTGAAGCTTTATTAGACCCTTTTAGTAAAGTGTTTTCTACCGACAATGGTGAGAGACAAACAATTAGTTGTAAATATAGTTGCTTGTAGATAAATTCTCTGTTTATTGAGGGGCTGCCTTACAATTGTTTCAAAACCTGAAACCAGATAACTTCAATGATCACAGGAATATGAAAGCCCTGGCGGATGTAATTGCTGGACCTCCGGCAACACTATCTAAACTGTCAAGATACTGGAAAGACGCGGGTAGTAGAGATTATTCGGATGACTGTTTTAAACTCTCTGGAAATGAATAATTTTTTAGACAAGGAACAACATGGCTTTAGGAAAGACATCATGTTTGAAAAATCTCATTACAAGAGAAGATTAGCATGAAGCAAAAGAGAGAAATATTTCAGATCTAAGTAAAGCCTTGACAAGGTCTCTCACCTGAGTTTTGGGATCCATTATGAAATCATAAACTGGATAAGTGACTTTATCTGTGATAGAAGACAACAGGTAAGAGTAAACGGAGGTCAACTACACATGGGAATCCATTAAATGTGGAGACCCTCAAGGGACAGTTCTCGGCTCTTCTTTTCAACCTTTTTTACATGGGTCACCGACAACAGTAAACTCATCTGCTCATTTCTTTGTTGATGACATAAAGATTTGGAGACCCACACAAAGTATGTCAGATAACGTAACATTACAGGATGACTCAAATTAACTGGTTGAATTGATACGTAGGTAATTAGAAGTTAACCCTAACAAGATTATAGCGATGAAAATAAATAAATGCGACGATTCATATCACTATACAATAAGCGAAATTGCTGCATGAAGTAATGGATCAGGAGTCATAATAAGCAACGACACTAGAACTGCGAGTAACTGTAAAGCTGTTGCTGCCAAAGGATTCAGAGTCTTATGGGCTATTTGCAAGTCATTCCATTAGTTGATCGAAGAAATGTTTACGGCATTATACCTGACATTTGTGCGACCGCATTTGAAATGTGGGAGTAAAACAGTGAATCCCTTTCAAAGTTGGATATGCTAGAACGCGTCCAACGGCGAGGGACCAAAATGATAAAAGGTCTGTCTTGTGTTATGAAGAAACTAAGACGCCTCAACCTATTTCTGTTCTCTTATCGCGGGTTACAGAGTAATCTGAAACTAGTTTACCGTACACTAAACGACGATTTTGGTGTATGTCTTACCTTTTTCTTCCACTTTGGACTGATGATCTGAGGACATATTATCGAAGTTCAAAAATGGAGATTAAATCATTCACATTTGAAGCTCTGTTTTACTGGGATTCCGTAGTGAGACTGAGTCTTTACAGTGTTACAAATTGCGAGGTTCATTATAAGTCAGTCGATCTCCCATCCTCACGACTGAAGATTATAGCCAAAACATTAAAAACCCGTTTATTTGGTGACCGATTCGTTCGTTCCGTTCCCAACTACACATTAGATTTATTTACCCTGAAGAAGAGGCTCACGTCAAGTCACGAAACGTCGGAAATACAATTTTTTACTCATTAGGATATAATGAAAATATAATAATTATCAAGTTTATTGTTTTGCAGACGAATTATAATGACAAAACTAAGGCGTTTATATATTTAAAAGAATTGAATGACGCACTTGTCGGCTATCGACTATCCCTTCTAAGTAGTAAGAGAGAATAACAGTCAGTTAATCAACAGGAACAAATAATCCGCTGACTAGGCGGCGATTTATGAACCCAGTCTTGATGAACACTAACAAAACCAAACTTACCTCACACCAAGAATTAGGGCAGCTTCACGCCGGGACATATTTTGTTCAAACCCCCCACGATAATACTTTGAGCCACTCTGGAAAAAAATAAAGGTAAAGTTAGAATTTGATGTGTTTATTTACACCACCAGTTTGTAGTTGTTTATCAAGTCGAGGTCGTAAGCAAGTAAAAATGGCTGTATTGAGCAACATCAATAGATCATGGGGACAAAACAAGCTTTTTAATTTCAACAGACCGGTAAATTGATCAGCACTCAGAATAGAAAACAGCTGAGAAACATGGTTAGACAGTTAAGTTAAAATCTTGTGAGTTAAGTCGAGACTGCATATCCGCTCACGCTACTAAATGCACCTATGAATCTAAACTGAAGTATAACAGTAAAACGTCAAAAACTATTTTAACAGAATCGATGGTTTCAGCATTTGGTCTGGCCGTGTCCCATAAAACTACAATAAGTATGTACTGAGCAACTCTTCCAAAGGAATAGGAGAAAAATAAAAAGTGTATATCAAATTTTAAAGTGAAACGTAGTAGACTGCCTACCATATGTACTGTAGATTAAAATCCCTAACATCCACAGATCACCTAAATGACCAAAAATTAACCTCTAGGTGTTTGTTTGCGATAACTTCAGATTTATCTTGCAACACACATAGTATAACATCAGAAACAACTTCCATAACAATCATATTACACAGTACACCATGATCATATTCTGTAATAGCGAGAACAAACAGGACATCACTCACCAGTCCAGATATACTGAAAAGTTTTTGCATACTACCAGCATTCATATTCCGTGTTATATAACGTCCAGCAACTCCTACGGCTATCATACCCAATCCTAATAAAACAGGTGTCGACTAAAGATAGACTTAGTGGTTATTTAATCTTACCATCACTTCATTACTATCAGTAAGGAAAGATGTTCGGCCAAGTGGCAAACAACGCCTACGAGATAAATATATGAAGAACAGTTACAACTATGAAAGGAAACTAAGCGAGCCAGGCGAAGACGCGCGCGACGAAAGTTGCCCGAAATCGCGCCAAACCTTCAATAATGATTAAAATATTTGTCTTGTCTTCAGTAGTAAGGATAGTAGGTTGATCGACCAGTATTGTTAATCATAGATTGTTTTCCACTGAATGTACAGCTTCTCCTTAGAAGTGTTTACTGATGGGGCTGATACCACATGTTCGGGTAGAGCGTTCCAGCCAGTGATAGTCAGATGAGAAAAAACAGAATCCCACTCTGAGTCTATTTGACAGTGATTTCGGAATATTTAGATATAGCCTTGGAGTGATTAGTTATGGGTGGAGTAAAGGTATAAAATATTTTAACACCTTAATAATTTAAGAAATGGAATGCCAATACAAGATCATTTCGCTCTCTGCAATAATGAGGGAAGTTTTTAGAATTTCAAGCTCTCATCGCAAGAGCGTTTAAAGATTTCTATAAAGGACTTGGTTTGCACACGGTGACTTATCCTGAGTGTGATAATTTCCTTAATAAGATGTGGGCTAACCTACTGGACGTAATACTCCGAGGTTCCACATGGTTGGGGTGTAGAACTCGAAATATATATTAGTCAAAGCAGTTGGTATTCAGCGACTTGGCGATAGTTGTTAGTGGAGTGTCGTTATAGCAACCATCCTACAATCAATTTCGATCATAGCCAATTTTGGTTAAGCCCTTTTTATAACTTACTTAACAGACATCATCATTTGGATAGTAACAATTTGCATATTATTTGCACTGCTATACCACTAGAGCACATGACACTCTATTCGAAATGTTGACTGCTTAAAATCATTCGATGACTCATACTCCTCCCCATATGTGTACGCACGCGAATATTATTATCAGCCTTTGTTTTGCTTTACTGTGCCCTTATTAAATTTGACTATAAATTGCCTATGTAATTGCTTGCTTTTTGCTCGCTTGCATCTCATTCGTTTCCTTCGCTTGTTCGCCTGTTCACTCACTCTCTCGCTTGCCGCTCGCTCGCTCGTTAATATTCGCTCAGGTGTTGTTAGCTTTCTAACCTGAGTTATTCGACAATAAACTGTAGTTGCTGCCATCCTTCGTCTTCTGATTTTACACACCGTTAAGATTAGAATTATATCGGTTGTCGAAACGAACGATTAACGAATCGCGGCACTACAGAATTGGAGGCCTCGCCGAGCGATCACAAAACAATTTTCGACGATATAATCTAATCCCGAAAATTCAAAGCGCTGCGTCTCAAATCGGATTATTATTTGTATCATAATCATAATTGTGGATTTATTAGATCCTAACTCACAAACATTGAACTTAACGATTATATTCATACTAAATAACGATCATTCACAAACAATTGATATATTGGTGCGATTTAGTAAGTCTGTTCCATTTTATAAATTGTACCATTTATTATTATCCTTGTTTCTGTCCGTCTATTTTACTTTGTGACATCTATATCATATTTGTGTACTGCTCAAAACTTTTTGTAAGCATGTCTTCCGAAAACACTATGTCAAGTGTACAGCAAACTTCGTCCGTGAGAACTCTTAACCTTCCAGTCCCCTCTTTTAAGGTCACCGACCCTCAGCTGTGGTTCATTAGACTTGAAAACTATTTTCTGGCTAGTCGTATTAACTTACAAAGAGATAAATTCGGCCTCACAAGCACTCTCCTCCCAGACGAAGTAGCAGAAAGCGTACGAGAGGCGTTATCTAAACCGGATACTGAAAGGCCATACGATGTACTAAAGCAGGCAGTAATTAAAGCAGTCGCACTAATTGACCAACAAGCTGTTGAGAAGCTTCTCAACCAAGCACAAATGGGGGATAGAACTCCATCACAGTTAAAAACTCATATGAAAAGTCTACTAGGTGATAGAAAAATAGACAATAACTTATTTTATCAACTGTGGCTTTGCCGACTCCCGTCCAGTATTCAGCAAATCTTAGCTGTTAGAGATACTGACGCTGACATAGACAACATAGCGAAAATAGCTGATAGAATATACGAAAGAGCAAAGCAAGCAAGCCCTCAATCACACAGCGTGACAGTAGACGATAGAATCAGTACTCTGCAGAAAGAGATAGATGTTTTATGCCGCAAGCTCACAGAGTTGACCCAGAGCGAGAGACCACGAAAATTATCACGAGTTGGCACGCGCGAGAGAAGCCGATCAGCTTCCAGAAGACGCGCAACTCCGCTGATATGTTGGTATCATCAAATGTATGGTTACAGAGCAAGAAAATGCTTACAACCTTGTAGATTTAGCACGGCAAGTAAGCGGTACCCTCGGTTGACCATGGCAACGCCTGCAGCGAACACAAAGCCCTCAAACAGCCGCCTATTTTATATACAAGACCGAATGACAGGCACTCAATTCTTGGTGGACACGGGGGCTGAAATTAGCGTAGTACCTCCAGTATGTGACGACAAAAGAAACCTTAACACTTCATTGGTTCTAATAGCGGCGAATAAATCAGATATTAAAACATATGGCAAACGAATGTTATCCTTAAATTTCGGACGAGGCGCGACATACCGCTGGGATTTTGTCATAGCAGACGTATCGGTACCTATAATAGGCATCGATTTCTTATGCAATTTCGATTTACTAGTAGACTCACTGCGCCACAGACTCATAAACGGTACCCATACTACTTCGATTACGGGAATACTTACAGAATCTGTTTCTATGATCCTAGTGGTAGATAAGAGCCGCAACGACCCACACAAGTTATTGTTAAATGAGTTCCCAGAGCTTTTAAAAGTAACGTACAATAAAACAGATCTCAAGCATACTATCCAACACCATATTGTAACCAACGGACCGCCGGTTAATGCAAGGCCAGGAAGATTAGACCCAAAAAGGCTAGCAATAGTAAAGCAAGAATTCGACAAGTCAATGAGGCTAGGCATAATAAGGCCTTCGAACAGCCCGTGGGCATACCCATTACACATGGCTCCGAAAAAGAACGGAGAATTAAGACCATGTGGGGACTATCGAGCACTTAATAAGCAAACAATGACCGATAGATACCCTATACCACACATCCATGATTTTATCTACAGTATAGAAGGTGCTAAAGTATTCTCGAAGATTGACTTAGTTAGAGCGTATTATCACATCCCGGTAGCTCCACAAGACATACCAAAAACAGCAGTAACAACCCCTTTTGGGCTATATGAATTCATACGCATGCCTTCCGGACTGACTAATGCAGCACAAACATTTCAACGGTTTATTGACCAGGTCATCAGAGGCTTACCTGGAGTATACGCATACATAGACGATTTACTAGTAGCCAGCTCCACTATGGACGAGCACATACAACAACTACGGCAATTATTCGCGCGACTAAGAGATCATGGTATTTCCATAAACATTGAGAAGTGTGAGTTTGGAAAAGGATCCTTACAGTTCCTTGGACACATGGTAACTTCTCAAGGTATCACACCGATCTCTACAGAAATCGATAACATCAGAGACTATCCGTTGCCCGATACACAGAAGAAATTACGACGATTTTTAGGACTAATAAATTATTATAGACGTTTTATTCCGAATTGTGCTGCAATACTTCAACCACTGACCGATGCGTTACGGGGACACTCCCGGACATTCCAATTATCAGCAGAGGCAATGCAGGCCTTCGAGAACGCTAAGAAGGCGCTCAACAAAAAGACGACATTAGCTAGAAGAAAGAGCGAAACACCGTTAGCTATCATGACAGATGCATCGAATGTGGCGGTAGGAGCTGTTTTACAACAGTTAGTAAATGGCACTTGGGAACCGCTTTCATTCTTCTCAAAGAGACTGAATCCCACGCAAACGAGATATAGTACTTTCGGAAGAGAATTACTAGCAATTTACTTAGCAATAAAACATTTTCGACATATGGTAGAAGGCATAAATTTTACTGTTTACACTGACCACAAACCACTCACGAACGCACTAAGCGCAAAGCAAGATAATTACTCTCCGAGGGAAATCAGGCAGCTAGAGTTTATTTCCCAGTTCACTTCTGATATACGATATATTAAAGGCCAAGAAAACGAAGTAGCTGACGCATTATCATGAACGACGATAAACACTCTCGTCCAATCCGAAATCGATTATCACGAATTAGCAGAATTACAAAATATCGTAATTGGACGCAAACTTGCATAAAATGCCAAAAAGTTAAAGTAAATCGTCACACCAGTTCCGCAATAGGTCCTTTTCGTCATCCTGATAGCAGATTTGAGCATATACATATTGACATTGTAGGACCGCTGCCGATTTCAAACGGCTTTAGTTATATTTTTACCTGCATTGATAGATTTACGCGATGGCCTATAGCAGTACCCATAAAAGACATTTCGGCCGAAACTATAGCCAAAACCTTAGTAGAGCATTGGATCTCTCATTATGGTGTGCCTACACACATTACAACCGATCGAGGAGCCCAATTCGAGAGCCACCTCTTTCAACAACTCACTGAACTCCTAGGAATCAAGCGTATTCGGACAACATCTTACCATCCGATGGCGAATGGTATGGTAGAAAGATTACATCGGCAACTCAAAGCCTCTCTTACATCTGTTATTAGCAATAATGATTGGGCCAGCAAGCTCCCATTAGTCATGTTAGGTTTAAGATCAACAATTAAACAAGATATAGGATGTTGCCCAGCAGAGTTGGTTTATGGAACCACTTTACGTCTTCCAGGAGAATTTTTCACCTCAAGTAAAAGTGTTCCAACTGATTTAGCCAACTATGTACAACGTCTAAAGCAACATATGAGTAATCTAAGAGTAACACATCCGAGGCAACATCAACACCGAGTGTACATACCAAAACAACTGAGCGACAGTACCCATGTGTTTATCAGAAGGGATAATGTGCAACGTCCC